GTTCCTAGATTCGGGTGCGCACGGTAATCGGCTCCCTGCTGCAGTCATTACAACAGAACTCGTGTGAGGCAGTCAGAGTTCACATGAGACATAGTTAAGAGCCACATTGGGAAGCAAAACGTGCGCGTGCAGCGGCTTTCATCCGTGGCAAGCCTGTGTGGCAGCAGCATGATACTGCTTGCTGCCATATAGTTTCAATTTCCACAGAACCCGGCACACGAGTGTGCGCGAAGGCCATGTTGTTTGAATTTGCACAGAAGCCACCTGGAGCATTGTCTTGCCACGGAAAGACTGTGGCAATGCATGGTCGCTGCAGTAGAAACCGAACGGTGCATCGTTGGGGTAGCGCGCGCACGCCGGGTCTCTGCTCCCTCTACATGCGCAAGCAGCTCGCTGTCGAAGTTCGAAGTAATTTGCAGTTTCGATGTTTGTCCGCCATTTGCGCTTTTGTCTGTAGCGACATTGCGAACGGCAGCCCATAGTTGCAGCGCAAAAGCTATTGTTCGGCGGTGCTATGGCCCTTTCTGGTTTTGTGTGGTCACCTTGACCACTCCTCTTGCGTGGAGTGCGGCGCCACAACGTCATGAGGAAGCCCTAGCGGCCCTAGCGCTTGTTTCGGAGCACCTGTCAGCTGATCAAAGAGACAGCATTTTCAAGGCTGGATCGTGGGTGCGGCAGATCCTAGAAGAGTACTCGTGTGCAATTTTTCGGCCCTGCAGGTGCGCGTGGAGTCGCGCCGCACCGTGTATGTGGCAACCAGGCTTTCACAGGAGGATGCGACAGACATACACCGAGCTCTTGGTGCGCTTGGGCATGTGCGGCTGCTGGCAGGTGCGGACTTCACAGCGAAGGCAACAGCAGATGCTTCGCTGAAGCGCCAGCGTGCTGCACAGCAAGATGCTTTGACGAACATGAACACGGATTTGGTCGCGTCTTTGGTGCAACTACGTGGGGCGGGGGGCTCCGCGAAGGCGCAACGTCGAGATGCGCGGCTCGGCACGGTAGATGGTTATTCACACATAACATTGCGTAAGTAATTGCGTGCGAGCTTGTTGAGGTCGAGGGCCCTAGGCATCTTGTCCCGGGTGACGGCCGCTCAAGCGTCGGGGCTGCAGCTGCACGATGCAGATGCGGAGGATTAGGCTTGACAATGTCGGGCCCGTTTATGCTCGTGTGTGAAGTAAGACGTCCTCCCACCGTTACTCGATAGTCGCTGCAGTGCAACTTGAGTAACAAGGGAAACTGCGGGTTGGTAACCAGTTGCAACATAGCTAATCATAACGGGTTGTGTTGCAGCAAGTTATAGCATGTGTGCAGGACGTTCTACTTGAAGGCACTTTTGCTCGCTGACCTGCAAGCTTCCTGTACAGTGTAAATGAGTAGCTAGCAGGCTTCGATGTTTCAAGTCAGCAAGCGTGCGACTGCGGCTACACGTACCGTAGGTTTCGCGCTTCGAAAATGAAGTCCCTTCAGCCCAATGCTTCGATATAGATCCCCAAATTGTTGCGGATGGCTTTTGGCACACAGCGCTGGGCCCAGCGTTAACGATCCACAACTAACAGTGTAGGTAATCAGAAGTATGTTCGGAGTATATCGCTGAGCCCTTGCAGAGTGTCCGAGGCGTCGCAGAGATAGCAGCCGAGATGTGGTGCGCGTGCGACGTGTACAGGTCGCGGAAGCGGCGTTTAGCATTCGGGTCGGTTGCAGAGTGGCAGGAAGTGCTACTTGAACAAATTCTCGATGTTGTTTCAAGTTGTACAGGAGTCCGAAGCTAGAGTTGGTAGACACGGTCAACTGGCTGTCCGGATTGCACAGCAGAACTCAGTTTGAAAGAAGGCAAAAGTTTTTTTGAGCTTTTTGCTGGGGTCCAGAAAACACATTGCAAACGCTGTGCTCTTGGCTATGGAAGTGGCTCTCCCAGGATTGGATCTCAACAACTTTCTATCTCGAGCAGATTTTCCCAAGCGTATCACTGTTGCCAGGTCGTATATATATATATAATTTGAATAATCCCTGTCATGCTTAAGATATCTTTTGGGTTCCTGGGCCAAACGTAAAATAAATGGGGGTTTAAGGTTTAGGGTTTAGGGTTTGCCCGAAAGGGCCAGCGTAAATGCGATGGCAAGAGGACGCACAGCGCAGGCGCAGGTGTTGTCCCGGACCCTGTCAGTGAGTTGGAGCCGCCTGCTTCGTCCAGCTCCAGGCGCTAAGGGACTCCAGGAATGACGCCCGAATGATTAAGAAAGGCTTAACTTAAATAGCAGCGGTCGCTTTATCTCGCATCCTGGGTCGAAATATGCATCGATGAGCGTCCACCTTCGGGAAACGCACTTCGAACAGTCACTTCTATTTGTAAACGATCCGATGGTTCCACGTGGAATCGAGCATCGGGTTTATTGTGTTGGGCAGCCGCTGATTTGTGTCTCGAGCGGGTGCTTGTGGCATTGAGCATCTACATGGGGAATGGCTGGCATTGAGCATCTACATGGTCGCCCACTGATGTGAGATAAAAACCCTATATGCTTGCAGGCGAAGAGAGGGCTCCCCGGCTCTCTGCTGTCTCCGTCTGGTATCTCTGTCTGGTAAGGGTTCACCAGGATCGGTTTTCAGGGCTGCTTAAAAATCAGCGGGGCTCCCTCTCCCACTCTCCTCTCCTCTCCTCTCCTCTCC